CGATTTAATTAAACGCAATCGGACGAGGGTTGGACGAACCTGTCGAGAGGGGAGGTTAATCAGTAGCCAGATATATACTCAGATTATTTACCGACTGTATTATCGCCTAGTATTACGCGCTTATGCCTCGAATTAAACGTTACACGGCCACTGGCGTTAATTTTCAGCTCGCGTGTACGGGCCATATTTTTTCCAACTCTTGAATTATCGAATTTTCTGCCACACCACTCGTACTTTAACACGTACGAGGTGTCTCGAAACAAGAGCTTTGCTGCACAAATGTGCGTAATTTGCTTAAATTTAAAATAGAGGTTAGAAGTTTGATTGATAAAAATTATATCTAGTTAATAAAAATAATTAAATTTTTAATATAATACACGTAATATGTAAATTTTTATTCAACATGATCAATAAATATATTTAAATCGGTGTCAATATTCATCTAATATAGTTGAGCTCAATCGATAAGGATTAAAGAAACCGTGCTTCCTGATTGACCATGCGTCGATAAGGATTAATCTATTGAATCGATCCACACGAGTAAATCCAATCTTAAATAATTTTCCTTGTCCAATCAGAGTTATCGGATGTAATATTACTTGTACAAATGACTCAGCGATTGAACCTCGAAGATTAATCTTTAATCATACATCAACGTGTACTCTAACGGGTTTCTTTGTTCCTTCATCAATCAAGTTCGACCTAACCTCATCTTACATTTATATATTAAATCGAATATTAACTTTATAGGTTAGACATAATTTTTATTATTAGACATAATTTTTATTAGTTTATATATTTTGTATATTTCGCCATTATTTCATCAGAAATAGTACACAATAAAAATCGAGAACTATATATATACAGCGTCAATTATTCTACAGAGAGATAGATGTTTTATGCATCGTTGACAGCTTCTTTCTCAAATGGAATTTCAATTCTAACCTCACAACGGTTAAAAAAACGCGACCAGGCACATATTCTACTAGAATCATTGGCTTCTTTCTCAAATGGAGTTCCAATTTCTAAAAATTGATACACGACAGTTAAACGGGACAGTTAAAAGATGCGACAATTAAGCGGGCATCATGCTCCGCGAATCATCGATTTCTTTCTAAAACCGGAGTTCCAATTTTAAGAATTGATGAGAATCATCTTTCTTTCTCAATTAAAGCTTCAATTTTAAGAATTGATAATTACACGACGAGTAAAAAGATGCGACAATTAACCTACTATTGTACTATTGTATTTCGAAAATATGTTTAAAAAATATGTTAAATATATTTTTTACGATTAAAAACGTGCAAAAAGGAAAGAAAAAAAAGAAAAAACGCGAATTGATAATTATCGAAATTCCCTTGTTGGTTATATTAGAAAAAAATAAGGGAGGGAAGAACGAATGGGGTTGCATCGAGGGTGCGAGATGGCTCGCGTTATATTGTTTTATTCGAGGTCGGATCCAGTGGCGGTTCACCGGTGAGTTTTATTGGGAATTGAGCCAATTAGAGTACTCGAGTTAACGACCTATCGTAATACGCTTTCGCGAGGTTGTCGGCGATTACGTTGTCGTGCTGGCCCCGTCTTTAAACGAACCGCTTTACGCGCCCGTATATCTGCTCGTTTTCTTGATTAGGAATGGTCCTCGAAGCGATTAACCGGCGTGGCGGTGGTCGCGTGACGACTGGAAAAAGTTGTCCACACTGACGTTTCTTCGCTATGCCGGCTAACTCTATCGCTTCGCGCTTCGTGTTTTTTCTTTTTTTTTTTTTTTTTCTTTTTTTTAAACTTTCCTCTTTTCTCTTTCTTTTATCTTCTCTTTTTCTTTATTATGATTGGTCCTCGAAGCTATTAACCGGCGTGGCGGGGGTCGCGTGACGACTGGAAAAAGTTGTCCACGCTGACGTTTTTTCCCTGTGCCGGCTAACCCTTTCGCTTCGCGCTTCGTGTTTTTTCTTTTTTTTTTCTTTTTTTTAAACTTTCCTCTTTTCTCTTTCTTTTATCTTCTCTTTTTCTTTATTATGATTGGTCCTCGAAGCTATTAACCGGCGTGGCGGGGGTCGCGTGACGACTGGAAAAAGTTGTCCACGCTGACGTTTTTTCCCTGTGCCGGCTAACCCTTTCGCTTCGCGCTTCGTGTTTTTTCTTTTTTTTTTTTTTTTAACTCACTGATACGAAGTAATATAGACGTTACTTAGACCAACAAGATTTTTTCGATTTAGAAATTTTATATCTAGTAAAATTTGAATTAGATAAAAATTTAGATCTAGGAAAATTATTAGTTTTGATTTTAGGTTAGGTTTAAGACAGTTGTATTAGCTTTTGAAACTAACGAAGGATTATTATATTTGATATTTCGATAATGATTTATGACACGAAAAAAAGTGTACAAGATGCTGATTAGCAAATTTAAAAATATGTACATGATACTTGAAATTTATCATATAATGTAAAAAAAAAAAAATATTTTAATATTCAAAGAGTTCTATTTTTCAACGAGATATATTTATTAGATTAGGTTGATTAAGTTGAATTTAATTAAGATATGATTCGTTCTAATTGAAATTTAATTATAAATTTGGGATTACATTCGGGTTTGGATATGTGCACTTCGAGCTTGAACTTAATTCAGATGTGGCCCACGTTAATTCAAACTTAAATTTGATTAGGTTTAGATTAGATGAAATATATATTACCGAAAATTCATGATTAAACTTAACCTCGACATTCGTTTTACTCATTAATTCAAAGAATTTGAATTAAATCGCACATGATATTTGTAACACTTCAATTACGCGAAAATATTTTTTACAAAAACTTAAATATTAATTAACCTTAAAACCGATATACATTTAATTTCAAAAATTTAACCATAAATTCGAGTGTTCGCTCAAGACTCTCACGCAATGTTGAAAAACTCGGTCGAAAATCCTTTTTCTGAGGGGTGGCTTTCGTTCAAAATTGGAATTCATCCACTTTACCCTTTATCTTGCTGGACTTCCGCGTCCCGGGAATCCTATTTCTATCCTCTACAAAGCGGATCCTATCTAAATGTCTGTTGGTTACCGTATTACCGCCATTCTCTCGCGGAAGTTCGCGCACCGTGTAACCAAGGAAACTTCTATCCCGCTCTTTTGAATGGCACATGGTGAACCGATGCGCTCGCCCGTCCAGAATACACTTTCAATTCTCATTTGCTCGTTTAACGTGCTGCCAACTTTTAATAAACGTGGCAAAGGCGAAAACTAAAAACTAGAAACCAACTCAAACACCATCTGTTCTATACAAACAGCAACATTCGTGTCCCATTAAGACCTTAAATTTCCCTTTCGAATTCAATTTCAATTATTTAAATCCAATCTTCAAATCTGTAGCTGTTATTCAAAATTAAAAATAAAGAAACGATATCACGATAACCATTTAATCGAAGATCGATGGATGACGGATACAATTGTCCCCTCCCTCCCCAGTTCTCCACGTGGGTCAAGGAAGATCGACGCGTCTAGGATATTGGAATTACGCAAATTACACGCGGTGCATGCGGAAATCGATGTGGTTTCGGATGCCAAAGGCCCATCGGTCGTCGTGCAAACATCCAAACAATACGAACAATACCCTCGTGGAATCGGTGTATCAAATATTGACTGGCAATATCTTTGATCGACGATTGATCGATCATCGGTGTCGAATGTTCATTCCTAAAAGGAATCCTACAAACACGTATTCTTATTATTAAGAATGATGTATGGAAACTTCACCAGAGATACCATTTTATCAGAAAAAAAAAAAAACTTTCTTCTCCTTCTTCTTCTTCTTCGTCCATCGTCGATATATAACAAATCCTCCTACCTGAATGCAGCATGAACGCAGAGATCGCGATGATACTGGACAACGGGGTCCTGCGATTCACCGGGAACGGCATCCTCTCTGACGATCCCATGGACCCGTGTGGATCGTTCGAAGATCTTGTCACTGTTCGCCCATTCTCTGTCCTTTTTCAACACTGCACACGCACACGAGACGGAGGAAATCGATCCCGCACCCTCTCCAATTTGTCCATCCACCAGGTCACGACGATGGTACGCGACGACGACGACGACGACGAACGGGGAACGACGCGCGATAGACACGTCGACCGGGACCCGGGACGCGAGCGACCTTCGGGGATGGTCAGCAGGTGTCGGAGCGGCACATTATTTTCCACGTTCCGCGCGGACTAATTGAAAATCTATACGGGGCAGAGAGGTAGTCGCTACTGCGGCATCGGTACACACCAGCAGGAGGAGAACCAGGAGGAGGTGCTGGTGTGTTGCTGCTGGTGCCGCTGCTGCTACCACTGATGCTCCCTTGCTG